TTATACATTCACATGTAAATATGGAAATGAGATTGCATATTTAATTTATATCTGTGGGATGTGGCAAATTTTTGGTAACTGATGGTTATTATTGTGAAAAACAACATGTAGTTTTCTGAGGGTTTTGAATTCTCCATTTTTACATGCACAAAGAACAATGTATATATACAATTGCAAGGAATTTTTGTACTAAATTACTTTGATTTACTTTATTTTATGATTACTTATGTTATTTTAAAATAGTTACGTAGAGGAATTTTAGCTCAACATATGTCCAATGCATCTTGGTTAATGTCTCCACTTACACTTACACTTCCCAAACCTCACTACCCCCTCAATTTACCTGGGTTTTATTTGTACTGAATTACTTTTAGACACTTGAAGTCAAGTAGTAAGGATGCTAGATTGAAATTATAGCTTATATACCTTAAACATTTGCTTTATCATGATACACTATCTCACAACGATAATGTGCTATTAAAATGCTTTATACCATTTTCTCATATTTAGGACTTTTGAAAGAATTAAACAGAGCATTCACATTGCGTCATTTATATCCTAGGTTGCTGACATTTTGCCATATGTAGGTGAATTTTTATTCTTATTGCAAGGTGTGTGTGTGTGTGTGTGTGTGTGTGTGTGTGTGTGTGTGTGCCCATGCACTTGGACACCCGGCCTGGGGACTGAACACAGGGCCTGGGTACTGTTGCTGGGGTTTTTTTCACTCAAGGCTAGTAGTCTACCACTAGAGCACCATCTCCATTTCTGGACTTTTTTGGGCAGTTAATTGGAGATAAAAGTCTCACGGACTGTCCTGCCCAGGCTGGCTTTGAACCTCAATCCTCAGGTCTCAGCCTCCTGAGTAGGTAGAATTACAAATGTGAGTCACAGGTACCCGGCTTTGCCAGACTTTTTTTTGCACTGGTAGAGAGCAGGGTAAAAGTCCTTGTGGATTGATATCTATATGACCTTAAAATTATGGGAAAACAGTGAACAGGTATAGACGTGCATTGTACCATTCATTCAGCTTCTCACAATTGCTACCATGTGTTTTGTCTGTGTGTGTGATAATTAGTCATTCTGCGGAGGAAACATTCTGACTGAGACTCTCCAACTTTCTACTTTCTTAATAAAAAATATTAAATGTAATTTTTAAAATTAAAATTGAGGGTACTCAGAGTGGGAAACATAAGATTGGAACACACTGATTCCAATTGAGAGATTTATGGAAGGGGTTCCCTCAGATGACCAAAGATTTCTCTTTTTAAATTTTCTGGCATATTTCCCCTTTCCTTCTAGCACTACTAGTTTGTGTAATAAAGTTGAGAATTCTCACAAAGGACCTTATAAACATGTGTTATTAGATTTAAAATCTGATTTGAAAGTGCTTCTCTCCGACTCCCTCTGAGTAAAGTGACCTTTTTAAATGGAGGGAAGTGGCTTTAGATGACAGACATGATAAATGCGGTCATGTTCACTCAATAAAATAAGGCCCAGTGCATTTGAGGATAAATCAGTGAAATGTACAGCCCCACCTGTCTGTCTCCATCATTCATTTCCACTGTCACTTTCACAGTGGCTGATGGATCACAGTTGCTGTAAAATTAGACAGCCTTTAATCTCATTTCATCCTGATTAGCTTCTCTTTCCCCTTTCCCTCTAACTCACTGACTGACACGCTAAAAACTCACACTGGGCTGTATATGAATGCGGAGTACAAACCTCCTTCTCCACCTGCTCGTGAAGCCAAGGCAGGTGTCCACCTCTGGAGAAACCTGCAGAGAAGTAGGGGTGTGTTTGGTGTTATTTAAAAGAGAATCAATAAGTCCAGGAACCAATGCCATTTTAAACAGATTGTTGGCTCCTGCTTGCTGCCCTATTTATTTTGCTTTCCTTCAGGTTTAATCAGAAGTCGGAGAAATGAGGTCTTTTGCAAAAATCAAACTGTTGGAATACAGATTTTTTTTCTCATGTAATAAATTAGGGACTGTTTTGCTTTCAAAATAATTGTAGAGAGTTTTTTTGTGCATTTTACACAAGTATTCATGGCAATAACTCAGAAAACACAATTCAGGAATGAGAATATTGTATGCTATATATATATATATCTACATAGATATATATATAGCATACAAGATTTTTAAATAAAGGTAAAAATATTCAAATAAATGACCAACTATAACTTGGAGTCCTTTATATTAGGACTTCAAAGACTTCTTTTTCTCTTATTTTGAGGAGTTCAATAATTAACTTAGTGCAATAGTTTCATTTGTTTGCCTAAAGCATAACAATTGGGTTAATCAAATGAGAAAGAGGCTTAAAAATAAATCATGTATTATTTCCTTCATTTAATTTCTGTTTGCCTGGATGGGAGCAAATGAAAAGCAAGAACAAAACACAAGTGTTGTTATATTTTCAGAGACTGTGTTTGATTATATAGCTGGTAAACTTGTGGTTAAACAGAAGAAAATTGCAATTTTAAATTATTTCAAGGTGTTTATGCATTAAACTGACCAAAACTATAAAAGAAGCATGGTAGTTCTAGCGTAAGGGGATTGTAGTTGCTAGTCTGTATTCTTTTACTACATCTCATGGAATTAATTCTCACAGAGGGCAATTAATGCTGCACACATTTACACTGGTTGATAAGCTGCTACAATTAGGCTATTCATAAAATAACATAAAGATGCCTAGTTGTATTTATTGTGTGTGTGTGTGTATGTGTGTGTGTGTGTGTGTGTGTGTGGTGTGTGTGTGTGGGTACTGGGGCTTAAACTCAGAGTCTGGATACTGTCCCTTAGGGTTTTTTTTTTTTTCCCTCAAGGCTGGTGCTCTACCATATGAGGTATAGCTTCATTTCCAGCTTTTTGGTGGTTAATTGGAGGTAAAAATGCTGAAATAAGGATACATGATGACCCATTGTAACAGTGAAATTTCAACAATGTTAAAATCAAACTTTACAACTTTGTGTGTGGGCGGGGGTAGAGGTGCAGAAGGAGTTGGGAAGGTGGGGAGCAAAGGGATGGTAGGGTTTCCCCTATATAAAGAAGTGGGTAACGATGCTTGATAGGAAATGGACTCATTACCTTGCTCATGTAACCCCTCTGTACAGTATTTTTACAATAAAAAATACATATTTTTTTAAAAAAGAGTCTCACCAACTTTTCTTTCCTAGTTGGCTTCCAACTGCAATCCTATCTCAGCCTACTGAGTAGTTCGGACTGCAGGTTTCAGCTATCAGCACCCAGCTACTTCTGTGTTTGGTAGTTTGGAAATAGCATCATAATTCAAAGAATAACAAATTATTTTTTAAACAACCTTCAAAGCATATTCAGCCTTGGTTGTATAATAAGCTCAATGGTTTAACATATTCTGAATAATGGAGCCCTCAGGATTTAAGCAGCCCAAAGCATTTTCCAAAAAGGTAAACTGAGGACTGAGAAATTATGAATATTCCTGAGATGTATCAATCTAATTCATGGACCTGCACACCACTGACATCTAGGATTTATATCACCCCCAAATCAGGGTGTTTCTGTACCAATAACTTCTCCCCATATGAATATAACTCCAGAAAAAAAAATAGTATTCTTACTTAATGATAATTAATTACTCAGAACTCATATAGGCCTGAGATACAAAAACTGATCTGATTTGCTATTTTAGAAATCCTTTCAGAGTTATCAATCTCACAGTCATGCTAGTTTCATAGTACTTTTTATTTACATCTCTTAGCTAGTGTATATGATTCTTGAGGGAAAAAAAGATAACAAGAATAAAATTGAAATGAGTAAGATATATATCACTGAAAATAATTTGGGTATGAGATGCCCCCCCCCTCACTCTGCATTGGCAAAAGAGCACAGAATAAGAGTTGGCTGGGACTCATATTGATTTCCCACTGCACTGGTTTCTTAAGTGCTCTGTTGATCCGTGTCAAGCAATAAGTTCCCTGCCTGAACATGCACATCACCTCCCCATTTGTCCTCACCTAGATTTAAGGTGCCCGTATGATGAGCTGAACAAGGACATCATTTCTCCTACTGGTGTCCCTGGGCGGCTCACACCTCTGCATGTGACACGATAACTAGCACCATATATGTACATTTACAGTCACTCTAGGAGATTAAAATGGCAGAGACAACTGGCACTGCACTGCACCAAATGTGACAGTCATGTCCATTCTGTACTTTGTCACTCCTCAAAGGAGACGCAAACGATAGCAAATACAGAGAAACCTGGCTTTAGTGGATTTCCAAATCATGTCCCCTCCACGCAGCCACCACCACATTTGGGCAAGGGGACAGCAAGAGACAAGGAGAATAGATTTTTGTGGTGTTCCTGACAGCTTTCATCTTTGTTACAGAAGAGCTCCTATGCAGATAGATAGAAAATGTATGATTGTGCTGCTAATGACATGGTACAAGAAATTAAGCATATAAGTTTGGAGAAGGCATTAAATCAGCAGGACCTTAATTTAAAAACTTAAAACTGTATGGAAATTCAGCTTGCTCGTTGTTGTGGAATAGAAAGCTACCAATCATTCTGAGTCTGTTTGTGGAAAGATTGCCAGCAAACCAAGTTGGGCAGAGCATGTTAATGGCTCCAAGTATATTCAGGAGTTACTTCTTCCAGTTACTGCCAGCCTTGACCATTTGGGAGTGTCGGTAGCTGTTTTAGAATGTTATTTCTATCAGCAAGCAGGTGAGAACTTAAGAATGGGAAGTAGCATGGCAGGCCGTTCTTGACTAATTTGTGGAATAACATTATGTAAAACGAATCAAAAGGGGTTGGGTTTGAAACCGCTGGGCACACACAGCTGAACAGTGGATGGGGACCAGTGGATCTGGGGGGTAGCCACTCTGCTGCCTTTGCTGTCTTCTTTCTGCTGATTGAATTTCACATTTTGTACATCTCGGTGAAGCAAATAGCTGGTGTGCTGAGGTATCAAGTGCTAAGATGGAAATTTTATGCATCTTTTTCCTCCCCCTCAATTCCAGTTATGCCATACAACAGTGCCCACCACTGCGTTGTAGAAGTAGAAAACTTCTTGTTCGTGTTGGGCGGAGAGGACCAATGGAATCCAAATGGTAACTATTAAGCAACTTTCACTGTTGGTGTTTCGATTAATCAAATTCATGTGACTGTCGTGAAATTCTGGAGGCAACTAATATTAATGAGAGAAGATGTATTTAACTCACGATTTTGGAAGAAAAAACATAGACTTGCATTATTTCAGTTCTGGTGAGGTCATTGCATGGTGACAAGTCACCACCGAAGTGCATGTAAGAGTATTGTGATCGTTTTGAATTATTAAGTCTGGGGGTAGGGAGGCAAGCAGGGGGTTCCATAGTCCCTAGTGGGGACATCACCTCAATAAACGATGAACTTCCCCCAAATAGGCCATCTCTTAAAGGTTTTACTACCTCTCTATAGCATCCCCTGGGAACCAAGCCTTCGGTACATGGTTCTTTATAGGACACTCCTTCAAACCATGTAAGTGCTTAAAAAAAAAGTATCTCTGTATTAAAGGACACTGTGATTGGCTCATTTTGTAATCATCATTGAAAATACATTTCTGTGCAATAAAGACAAATGAAGTAGTTAGGAAGTTGGGCTGACAATGGGAGGAGGGTCCATCATGGAACCAACTGAGGACGTACGTAGCTGAGCATTCATTCCCTGACACTCTGGGGATTTGGATGCCCCGGCCCCTCACCATTCCATCCCCTGAGGAAAGCCACAAGCATCAGTACAAACTCCCCAGAGGAAGGTAGCCAGCTGCAGCTGTTAAGAATCCTCCTCACCTTCCCCAACACTTCCCTCCCATTTTGTCGACGCAGTTGCAATAAGCAAGCATTATCTCCAGTCATGTCATCCATAGCTCTAAGTGATGTTATTTTGCTAACAATATGACTAAAGATCCATTCCAGTGATTGTACCTTTTCTAAGTACTTCTTCCATCTATGTATCCATCACCTTTCTCATTGCTGTGGTTATTTCATAAACATACTACAAAGAAAAATTAAACCTCTTTTGACTGTCACTTTCCCTGCCAAACACGAGAGCTCTATGCCTTGCAGAATACACAAAATTATCAAGTTATTTGTGGACAGCTTGCACATGAAGGTCTAGATGCAGTTGTAGCCTTCTGTGTAACAGAAATCATTATGACTGAGAAACCATAAAACAGCTTGCAGGTACACATTTTTACTCTAAAACCTCAGAACATCCTGCTGAAATTACATATACTGCATCTATTTTATTGTGAATGCTCTCTTTCAGCATCTGCACCAAAGCAAATTATAGATAAAAATAGCAACATCTGTTCACTCTAGAAAGTCTTAAAGGAAAACAATCCAGACTGCCCACCAAAAACATTTCTGTCAAGAAAGGGGAAGAGATCTTTCTCAAGACTTGCAGCTTTTGTTACATTTCATCTTCCAGTATTGGAAAGGAGGCACTCTGTCCTATGAGAAACAGATTTGGAATAGGAGTAAGAATGATATTTAACAGCTCTTCTCTAGCTTACCTTTGTAAGGATGGATTTGACAAAAGGCAATCTATTATAAACCTCTCCTCATCTCTTTTTCTGTTTAACTTATCCTTCCTTAGAACTGTATGGAATGTTTGTAAGTAAATAGAGACTTTGGACTTATCTAAGCAAAGATTTGCCCAACATTCTTTTGTAGGGACAGATTAAAACTAAAAACATTATGAGAAAAATGTAGGGGAGTCCTCATTCAGACTAGAGTTCTCTCAGCATATCCAGAGAGGGGAAAGGCCTCTGTTAACATCATAGTCTCAGTACCAAACCTTGTAGTGATTTTTTTGAAATATATTTTTAGTATCCTTAAGTAGTTGTACAAATGAATTACCCACTCAACAAATATGCTTATGAATACAAGGCATCTTAATTGGTGTCACCTCTTTCATCATTGTACCCCGTCTTTCCCAACCCAGCCCTCCTTTCATAGGGTTTTCTAAAAAACAAAACACTATGAGCCTACCATTTCTATGAAACTTTCTGCTTTTTTCTTTTAAACAGGGTTTGTTATATAGCTCAGGCTGGCCTTGAGCTCTCAGCCTCTCCTGAGTACTATAATTAAAGGAGTATGCCACTGTGTCCTGCAGTTCACTTATTTATTTATCTATCTATTGTTTATTCACAGTGCTGGGGATCAAACTTCAGGCTTTGCTCATGATGGACAAGTCCCTGCTGATGAACCATCTCCCGGGTCCAAGACTTGTCTTAATCAGCAACTCATAAAACCTGATCCCTGTGTTTAAGCCAAAATATAAAACCTATAGCTGCTCACTATTCTACTTTGAATGACATACAACATTACACATTTCAACACAAGCTCATCAAACACAAATATGTGCTCATCAGCCACAAATAGAATTTAACTTACTGGTGCTCTTGATTGCAAGACCAAGCTTTGTAGTCGGAAAGTAAACTAAGTACTAAAGACATTTTCCCCTCTGTTCTTCCTTTGACACTCTTGAAAATCATCTTTCTTATTTCCATCTTCCTGGTCTTCCATCTCTTTCCCTTTCTCACACTACTCTCCTTTGGAAGGTCTGCCATCTCACATTCCTATCACGCTAGGTCCTGCTGAGTACATCCAAGTCTCAGCCACTAAAATAATAACCAGAAATGAACTCTGCTAGTTTCTCCCAATACTACTCAGTTTATAGAGGCGTTCTCTGCCTCACTGTGGATGTTTTCTTTCAAATAGAAATTCTAGACCAAATTTTATAGAGAAAAACATTCTTAGACCGGGTGGGTAGGTTCTACATTCTCATCGACATTACTGATCTTCAGATGCATTGGAGAATTAACCTTGGAACTTGAGTATTAAGGATATTTTTTCTTGTTGGGACATCCTCACAAATTCCACAAAAACTCATATGTAAGCACAGACTCAGTCTTGACATAATCCTTTCTTGAGTTGTATACTTCTTCTATGAAATCCAAATGTCCTATCTCCTGGCATTCCTCTCAATTTATCTTCCAGCCAGCCATCAACTCCAGCCCTCATCTGACATCATCCAAAACCCAACAATTGTTTATCTCTCTATGGGGCCATGTATTTTCCAGCTTCCTTTCTACTCATAACCAGAATATCTTCTGAGAACACTATTTTCCTGGTCGATCTTTTTTTGTACACTTGGCTTGCTCCTCCCACTCCCCCCCCCCCCCATGTACTTTACAGTATTGGAGGCAGGCAGTGTTTCTCCTTTCTCCTCAATTACCATTCCTAAAGCATCAGGCACTTTTACAGGGTACCTTCAGATTATACCCCATGCTGCCCCACTCCTTCATGGAGTATGATCCATTGTTTTTCTGGTAATGCTACCTCTTCACTTGACCATGTTATGTGACCTCGATCATGTTGTTACTTAACCTCTCAATAGTGCCACCATTTGGTGACTAAGCCTTCAATATATGAGTTTTTCTGGGATCATTCAGATTCAGACCTACCAGCATATATCCCATTTTTCTCCCGCTAATGTTTCTGTGCCAGTCTAGTCTATCCTTCAGTCCCTTTTGTCTGTTTAAGATCCTATAGATCTATCAAGGTTAAATGGCAAACAGATCTCAAAACTTCTCCCAGCCTTCTCCTACTTGGTTTTACTCACTCTAGCAAATTGTATAATCTACCTTCCAGTTATTTATTAAAAAGCTGATTGCGATCCTCAATGTCTCACTTGTTCTCATACCAATATTTAATTCCTCTGGTAGTTGTATTTGTCTGTGTGTATAGTATAGATTTCAGACCTGATCATAGCTGACTGCCCACAACTTTATTCAAATTATCCTCAAATATTTCCTTGACTATTGCAATGGCTTCCTGCAGTCCTTCTAGTGCACTGTGGTTCCTTTATACACTCTCCTGCACCTCACACAGCAACCAGACTGATGAATTGGATTGCATTCTTCATGTTCCCAGAACCTTCATTGACTTTATCCTGTTCATTCCTAAAGCAAAAGTACAAAATTGCATACTGGTTGATAAGGTGCATGGTATTCTGGACCTAGACCTGTCTCTGATTTCTTTCCATTCCCCAGCATTCTTGCAGCCTTTGAACTCATCACCAATCCAGAGATGTTATACTTGTCTAGCTACTGCCTGCAAGACTTGCATTGCATATCTGTGCTTGTAGCTTCATCTGTAAGCAGGTGTAAGCATGAGACCACCTCTTTAACTGGTCTCTCTTCTATCTACCCTGGCTTTATCAGTCTGTATATCATTCATCTTGATTTGATATTATTTTAAAAGTTTGTTTATTGGCTGGGTACTGATGGTCATGCCTGTAATCCTAGCTAATCAGGAGGCTGAGATCCAAGGATTGAGGTCAGAAGCCAGTCCAGACATGGAAGTCTTTGAGACTCCAGTGAACTACAAAGAAAAATCCAGATGAGGAGCTGTGGCTCAAGTGGTAGAACACTAGCCTTGAGCACAAAAGTTCAGGGAGAGCACACAGGCCTCAAATTCTAGCTCCAGGATCGAGGTTTGTGGGGAAAGGTTAATTCATTCACAACAAAAGGAACCTTAACTTCCTCTTATACCAGTAGATTCCCAGAGCCTAAAACACAGAAGTCACACAGTAGGTGCTCATATACATTTTTACAATTAATAATTGGGTTATGTGTGTGTTCCTGTTCGAGTGTACATGCATTTGTATATACATAAGTGCACATGTGCGCTCACACGCACACACACACACACACACACACACACACAAAAACACATACCTCTATCTGTTAATTCCTATGTGAAGTCCAATATGTATACCTCAATACTTAGTTACTAGTATATGACCAAAGGCAGCCTTTTGGAGTTAAGGTTTCAGGTACTCAAGATGATTGCCATCTCCAGCACTACACAGAAAATGTAATACCCTCCTTTGCTTCCATTTCGTGCTTTAATGTCAATATGTATGCAAACTAAGATTAATGCCTTGGAGGCATTAATGTGCTTCTTAGGCTCAATGGAGAGGATAAGCTGGTTAAGCAGCTCAGAGGACTCCTGCTCTCCTTCTCAGCAATATACTTGTGTGTACCACAGAGCACCTGTGCTCTGTGCACACAGAACATGGGGCATGTGTGATTACTATTATTTCCATGGACAGATAAAAGGCTGCCACAATAGGGTTCCTTAAGGATTGAATAATGGGGTTGCTGAACTAGTCAGGATCCAGGACGGGGGCATTCAGGAAGGAAATCTTTCCACTTTCTTCTCAGTGTGCTGTGAACTTTACTTCTCTCAAAATAAATGAAGGGGCTGGGAAGGTAGCTCAGTGGTAGAGTGCTTGCCTTGTATGCATGAAGCCCGGGGTTCGATTCCACAGCACCACATAAGCAGAAAAAGTTGGAAGTGAAGCTATGGCTCAAGTGGTAGAGTTCTAACCTTGAGCTGAAGAGCTGAGGGACAGCACCCAGGCCCAGAGTTCAGGCCCCACGACTGACAAAAATAAATAAATAAATAAACAATAAAAATTTACAACCTTTTTACAATAAAATAAAATTTAAAATAAATAAATCAGCCAGGCACCAGTGACTCACACCTGTATCCTAGCTACTTAGGAGGCTGAGATCTGAGGATCCTCATGTGAAGCCAGCCTGAGAAGAAAGTCTATGAGACTCTTAGATTCAATTAACCAGTAAAAATTCCAGAAGCGGAGCTGTGGCTCAAATAGTAGAGCACTTGCCTTGAGCAAAAAAACCCAGGGACAGTATCCAGGTCTTGAGTTCAAGCTCCAGGGCCAACACAAAGATAGATAGATAGATAGATAGATAGATAGATAGATAGATAGATAGATAGATGAGATATAGAAATAGAAGTTTATTTTTTTCAGGAAAAAAGAAAAAATAATTTTTTTTTAAAAAGACTCCAAAGAGATATACCATACAAAGCATCTCTATAACTAATATATAGGCAATAGTGTTTTTAAAACATAAAAATTCCAGAACATGACACTAATATCATGACAGAAACCAGTTAAGAAAGCAAACTTCCTTTCAATATAGTTGATTTAGTTTTGTCCTAATTCAGTAAGCAAAAGGAAAAAGAAGGACATTTGAAGGGTGCATTCATTCCTCTGACCCATAGTTCTTGCCCTGTCTTAGGTATTCTGCTTAATTCATCTGTTCACTAAACCTGAAAAGAGTGAGACCTTATTTTAAAAACTGCTAGATGTGAAAATCAACAAAAGAATCCAAGTGTTAAGTGTCTTGAATGTATTTTTACAGGAAAGCACAGTACAAATTTTGTCAGCCGATATGATCCCCGATTTAATAGCTGGATTCAACTTCCACCCATGCAAGAAAGGTAAGTGTTTGTTTGTAGTGTCTGAAATATTTGGGGTTGCACTACAGAATCATGTGTACTTGATATGCCATGATTGTAAGTGCTACAGAGCCAAGCCAAGACTTCTGAGGCAAAATACAAAACTTGGCCTGGCTAATATGGATTACCTGCCTTGTTAACTCAATAGAGAAAAATTACTGAATAAGTTAATGTACATAGAAAAAAAATTCTGTGACATCTTCTTCAACTACATTGATTGATTGGTATGTTGCCAACTTGACTGTAGGTTTTTATTGTACTACAACTCTTTTTGCAACTGTTTTCAAATCTTTTAAGTAGTTATACCTAAGAGTTTCAGTTCTACAATGTCAGTTTATGAGTACAGTATGTTGTAATATCATCTCGTTCATCATTCTCCCCCCATCTCTCCCAACTGGCTCCCCTAACCCCTTAAGTTTCCTGATTTCATTTTCACTTATGTACATTGGATATGCGACTGTTTTTGCCCAGCCTTCCTCTCTCTATTTGTCTTTTCTCTCTTGACTCGCCTCCAACACATGTTCAAGCTTGCTGGTATTCATTTTGTTAAACTGTAAGCTTGTTGTTCATAAGTTTGTTGTCTCTTCCCCTGTATCCACCATGCTCTGGTCAGTTTGTTTGTATATACCTGAATATGACATTTTCACATATGTTTGTAATTTAACTATTTTGTGTATGAAAGAAAACATGTGTCCTTGGTCTCTCTTAGTTTGGCTTACTTCACAACATAATTTTCTTGAAATTCATCCATCTCCCTGCAGGTGACATAACATTATTCATCCTAGAATATAAGTAAAATTATACACGAAAATACATATATATGTATGCACATGCATATGCCACACGTTCTTGATTCCCTCATCCATTACAGGCATTTGAGTTGTTTCCATACTTGGCTATGGTAAACAGTATAGCAATGAATGTAGGTGTGAAAGAGACTGAATCTTGATTGTACTCTTGGGATAAATGCCCAAGAATGGAATTACTGGATTATAGGGTAGTTGTATGTTTAATTTTTGAAGAATCTCCGAACTATCTTCAAGTGGTTGCAATAGCTTACATTCTTACAAGTGGTATAATAGTGTTTCTTTCTCCCAGCATTCCTGCCAGTGTTTGTATTCTTGATAATGGGGCCATTCTTACTTGAGTGAGAATGAAATCTCAGTGCTATTTGATTTTTATTTCCTTTATGGCCAAAGATATTAAGCTTCTGAGCAATTTTTAAATCTTAACATCAAAATATAAAACAAAAATTTCACAATGAAACGTATTTCAATGTGAAAAATGTTTAAATATTAAATTTCTTAATATCAAGTATTCAATATTAAAGCTTAATATTTAAATATTTTATATTAAAATAGTTAAATTTAGTATTTCAATAATAAATTTTAAGTTTTATTCATGAAAATTATTTACATTTGACCTATCAAGTGTCTTCAAGAGCAGATCATTTATTAGCTTTAAACAGAATAGTTTTTAAAAAATGTCATCTCCCCTTTTTTTGCAGTGTGTATTGCTCTGAACACTCCTAGCTAAGGAAAGCTAAAATGGCTACTATATTTACATATATTTTGCCTCTCCTGGCGAGTATGGAGTTATGACGCTATGGTTTTATGTGCACATGTGAAATCACATGCTAGATTTTGAATACTTGGTTCTTTAAAAATAGTATACATATATCCTCTTGAGAAAACTCTCCAAAATGATTGTGATAATTAGCTGCAAGCTGTTAACTCTTCACCAATGAATTATTTAAGAAGCAATTCAGCAGTATCTTTTATTTCCTATCCTTCATAACCCATCTCCTTAAAAATCTGTTTGAATTCAAATAGATTACAAGCAGATCTACTTACTCATCAATTTCCAAGTTAAACAGAATTTTCAGAAAATACCATTTATTGTAAAGCGTATATCCCTACAGCTAGACAGCATAAATCTGTGTTCTAAAGAAACTCAGTATCCATTCCATATAAATATACACCACCACACTGTCAAGAGATTACAGAGGATGAGAGATGACACATGGAGAATCACAGGCAATGTAAGGGATGTCTAATTCCAAGGTACCTCAAGAAATAATTCTAAATCAATTAATATCCTGACAAACTTCATGACCCAGAAGCTTCCTGATGTCTTTCTCCAGAGTACCTTGTTTCTCTCTTCAGGGGTTACTGATTCTCTCTTCCTGGCGACTGTTATTGTCACCACATCACTTTGCCCTTAATCAACACCATTCAAAAAGTTTTATGTAGACAAACCCTATCAATCCACGTTTGAAATGTCATCATGTCATCACCACAGTCCCCTTTGCTGGGGGCCGAACACTATGATAATTAACCTTCATGCCTTGGGCTAGCGAGGCATAACTCACGTTGCGGTCAATTATCTCACTGTAGAGCCCCTAAGGATGGGAAGTATTACTGCAAAACCTAATTAGTAATTTTTTTAAATGTGTATTGTTTACTTGATGGTCTATAATGACTTCCTCTGAGGCACGACGGCCTATCGTGGCAGGGTCCAACTTAGCCAATTTTTAGCAGCTCATTGACCTGACAAAAAGACCTGCCATGGTCTGTCGGCGCCCGGCAGCCACCGTTGACAGGATGAACTGTTTAACGTTTCTCTCGAAGTCATTATGGTATATCATGTCAGGTCCCTAGTAAAAGAAGTTTTTTGATTTTTTTTTTTTTAGATTTAAAACAATCAACTCGATAGACCAAATAAAGAGCTCCTTACAAAACTGAGCTGGAAAAGGCAAATCTCACTAATGCCCAGTCAATCTTTAGCTCCATCTCTCCTATGGGTTGGTTGACCCAGCCAGCAGCAATCCATAACTTCAATTGAAATGTTTCTGTCACTGCCAAGCATCCACTGAAGACAGCAAGGACCATCAGTGGCTTTACTGGTAGTTACACTAGAAGCAGAAAGGGCCTAAAATAGTAGGCCCTTTTCTGCTCTTGAGATCAGAAAAGTTTGCTGACATTGTTAATTAATTTGGCAATACGTAGATCATGCTCAAACTAGAAGTCCCCCCATCTACCTCTTCTATTATGCTGCTCCTAAAGTACTGAGAAACTATTAGGCTGGCATGTTACAAAACTGAATGAGAGGAACAGAAAGACATTATAAGCCACCTCCAGGGAAACTGATGGTTACAGAACTGGCTGGACAGATTTCCAGGATATCTTACCCAATTAGAGGTTTTTTTTATTAAATTAATTTTATTTTTTTGTGAACATAATGTACAGAGGGGTTACAATTACATGGGCAAGATAATGCGTACATTTCTTATCAAGCATTGCAGCCTCCTCCTTTGTTTACCCTTCACATCCCTTCCCAGCCTCCCCCCGCCCCTCCCACCCAATCCTCCCTGCCCCCCCCCCCCACCAAAGTTGTAAAGTTCATTTTCGACATGACAACTTGTACTTCTCATTTTTGCAACTTGTTGCAAACGACTTGTTTTTTCCCCATCTCCTCCACAAATTATACCGACATCAAATATAATGAAAGCAGGGGTTATACTGTGGGGGAGGGACATACAAAGCAACAAAGAAATAATCTTATAAATGCATTAGAAACAAATGCATGAAAGAAAAAAAAACATTTAAATACCAATTAGAGTTTCTAAAAGGTATTATAAAACTGCTGAGTAACCTCCCTATTCACTGATGAATGGGCACATAGCCTCTGGGATTACCCAACCATGGACCAGATAACAACTAGACACCTATCAGAATTTACTGGCAAATGACTGAAAGAAAACATAACTTTAAGTGTAATGCTGATATACAGTTTTGTCCTTAGATTTAGGATTTGAATCTGCAGTAGGAAACAGGCAAAATGGAAAGCTTGGATTATTAGAACCGCTTTCATAACTCTAATGTTTCAATAAAATGAATACTTTAAGTATCATTTTTATGGAGATTTTTTTACCTCCTAGCTAGAACCAGATAGAAAAAAGCAAACAAACGAACCCTAAATAACAATTTGGTGAGTCACAACAAAGCCTTTGTTTTACAGAGTAAGCAAAAGACTAGAAATTAATACATCATAAATGTGTCTAGATCTAAATATTGTATTCTGTCTTACAAAAATACATGGAAGATAATACATATTCTGTTCAAAAGAAATTGTAGTTCTTGACCTACTGAAAAAATTAACAGTTTAAACAGGGGTAAGGTTATAATAATTCATCTTCTGCTTTGACCTGTAAAGGATTTAAAGTATACCTGTAGAAGCTATTTGCTAGTCTTCATATATAACTTACCTCAGAAATTCTGAATATTGCTTCCAGCAGTCAGGACAAGGAGAGAAGGGAGGAAGAAATGAACAATTTGAACTACAAACAGTGTAATCTCTCTAAGGAATCTTTAATAGTCTGGAACTGAATTTTCCAAGGAAAACAAAATAGGCTACACTAAGTATATCTTTCATCGGAGGAGGAAGAGAAGGAACACACCCCAAAGGGACCAGATATGGTAGAATTTTAACCTTGATCAAATGTTCACAGTTTCTGACAGACCATTAACAACCTGTCTTTCCTAGAATGCATGTTTCACTTTGGGCATGCAAGGAAATATGTCAAAGACTAGAGTCTTCACTACTAGAATTTCTGTGTACAAATATACTTCCCATCAGGAAGTGAAACCTACCAATTCTTTCTCATTCAGATCCTAACAGTGACACTGTGTGGATAAAGCCAGGAGTACACATTGGATCATCACTTAACACATTGGCTAAAAAACAAAACCACGTTCTGACAGGCTGACTCAGTGACACAGGGAGGAGGAAACAGATCAGAAAAGTGAGAAAACCAGAATTAGACTAGATACAGACTCCACACTACCAAAGGAAAGCTTTCTCTTAATCTGTCCAATCTAAACTCAGGCAATTTTCATACTTGGCTGTAACTAATTGGCATCTTCTAGATTAATGCTTCATAAAACTCACCATCTCCATCTCACAATCCACAGTCTTAATTATGTGCAGAAGATCCGTTAGTGAAATCAGTACATTTATTCTTTCAGAGGCCCTACCACCCATAGAATCATATGGAAAAATTGTATTGAGTTATCCTGTGTAACTACACATGAAATAGGTGTTAAAAGACAGGTTTTTATTCATATGACTCATTCTTTACCTTCTCAAAATAAAATGTTTTTAACATTTCCTAACATTTAAAATGTTTCTAACATTTTACCTTGAGAGGGCAAAGCCCCTGCTAAAATAATTTTAACATATTAAAGAAAATCTGGTTAAAGAAATAGAAGATATCAGTAGTTCCTCTGTATAGTTCTCATTTTCCTACTGTCTTTAAATTTAATTTTATATTTATATGAGATTTTATTACCCTATATCAAGAAATCCAAGGTTTTTAAAGACCAGACATCCTTTAATAATGTGGGAAGTAACTATAAGACATCACCTCCAAAATGAACATATGCGAAAGCATATCTATATAATTTTATTACGATTTCAGAGTTTCATAAACCTTTCAGAAGACATGGACCAAGGCCACTAATGCTTACTTTGTGAAATGTGACTCCCTTTCCCTTTATTTTCCTTCCTATTTGTCTTCATTGTTGACCTTCCAAATCATCTGTAGCATGTACTTATTTAAAAAAACATGAAGAAAATATAGAAAAATATCAAAGATAGACAAAATATTACTTTAAAATTGTCATGGATAGCTATTAGAACAATTCTAAGACTATCGTATTTTTTCTTTTCTGTCACTGTTATAAAACTCCTAAAATCACTAACTTAAGGGTAGAAGGATTTATTTTGGCTCATGGTCAGTTGGTCCTGTGTTCCTGAGTTTATGGTAGAAGGATATAAGAAAGGAAAACTTGTCACCTTATGGCAGCCAGAAAGTAGAGAGAGACAAAGAAGAGTCTGGGTATGACATATGTTTGTCAAAAGCATATTCCAAGTTACTACTTCCTCCAACTTGACCCCTACTGCTTAGCAGTCCATTACCTAGATTTCATTAACAAATTCATCTATTGAAGTTTCAGCCCTCATTATCTAATCATCTGTCAATAATACCACCAGATAGGTAGCAAATGGGGCCACACTTCATATCCAAATCATGACAATGAGCATTTACAACAAATACCATACTTACAGCATACTAAATTATCTAAGCAAATATTGCAGAACCTGATCAGCTGTTAAGTATTGCAAGTTGTGCATTTCTCATCAAACCTGGTAGATATGACACCATAAAAGAAAAATTCTACATCTCAGGTGATGAGACACAGCGAAAACACAGGATCCCTAAAAGTCTGGTGTAAGCTTGCTTTATAAGCTAAGTGTATAAAGAAACATGAATTTCCTGTTTAGTTCATGAAACATCATCCTCAAGATGTCTTGATATGTACAGGAAAATATCTTTACTTGGTATGGCTTCTGGTGCCGAGTATTTGGGATATCAAACAGTCATTCTGTGTTTAGAACAGTTTAGGTGCAATCTTGATAGCCAATTCTGTCCAGGTAACCTCAACTGACAGCTCTTGAGAATGAACACTATGACAAGTCCTTGCACAAGTTCGCAAATCTCCTGTGATCAATGTACCATTACTATCCTCATGTTACTGATGAGCAATCTGAGGCTGAGAGAGGTGGTGACATATGAAAGGGTGCACACACAGTAAATCATGTAGCCAGGTCACATCAGTCCAGAAACCAATTAATCAGGATGCTATCTACTGCCTCCACATGTTTCAGCACTTGGTAAACACAACCTCATCAAAAGCACAGATTTACCTGATAGAAACTTTTAGCACTCTTCATCACGACATTAACACTGCGCAAGAAACTTGGCATTGATTTTTACAGACACTATTTAATTCCTCCGACATATATCGTGTCCTTCAACACTTTGATACTTATCATTGTGCTTATCTAATATCCAACCACATATGATCCTTGTGAAATACGTCATTGCATTGGCATCAATGAAAAACAGAAGCAATATATTGAGAACTTACTTTCAACCAGTCATCTTAACTCCACATATTTTAGTCCGCTTTCATCTTTCTTCTCCCTTTTGCCTCACATCTGGTTATTTACAAGTCTCACATCCTCTTTCTTTCACATGGTTTTTGCACTACTCCTTTTGATTTCTTCCCCTAAAATTCTAAATTCCGGTCCTTGATACTTTGCTCCAAAATTATGATCTACCTCAGGATTGGTCACTATCCCTAATCTTCACAACATACTTTTCATCTTTTGCTTTTGATTGTATTGGAAGAAAATACAGCCAATGGCGTATCTCAAAAATATAAGACTTCAACAATATGCTCCTCTAGCCTTATGAGAATCAATACCAAAAGCGACATAGATGCACTTTCTGTAATTGGTTATAGAAGAGCAAGATTTGAGCATTATAAGAAGTTCACAGAAGTTATTCTACTTCTAATAGTATTATAAGGGGGGAAATAAAGAAAAAATGATAATTGAAGAAAAATTTTGATGATGTAGTTCTCTTATAAATTGGAAACAATGACCCTTGAAGGACCATAAAGAAAGTGAATGTCAAGATAATTTATTATTGCTACATTATCTACCTCATTTTTCACTGTGTCTTACTGAGCTGTGATAGCCTTACAAGGTACCAAATATCCCAAACATTAATGAACAATTTAACAGTGTATAAAAAGCAAGAACAAGACAGCTGGAACAAGCAGTTGGTAAATTTATCCTCTGCTATTATCCTCACATCAAAAATGTTCACCAGAATGGGGGCAATGCATAGGATTACTAGGTAGTGTCTCAGGTTTGAAAGAAAGGTATGTGAAACTAAAAGGTTTGGGGCATTTCCTAAGGCTTGGACGTTCCTCTTTCCCCAGCCAGACCAAGTAGTCCTTATCCTGTTTCAAAGGTAACATTTCACAGTTCCTCTTACGATTTACTGCGGGTGATTGTTTTCATTGTAGAAGAGCCAGTTTCTATGCGTGTCGGTTGGACAAGCATTTATACGTTATTGGTGGAAGGAATGAAACCGGCTACTTGTCCAGTGTGGAGTGTTACAACTTGGACACAAATGAATGGCGTTATGTGTCCTCTTTGCCTCAGCCTCTGGCAGCTCATGCGGGAGCGGTGCACAATGGGAAGATATACATTTCAGGCAAGTCAATTCCTCCATTTTCTGTTACCAAGTTCAGTTTCAAAGCATTTGCTTGACTTGTGTGTGTCATTCACAGGGGGTGTACACAATGGAGAATATGTCCCATGGCTATATTGCTATGACCCCGTTATGGATGTCTGGGCTCGAAAACAAGATATGAACACAAAACGTGCCATCCACACGTTGGCTGTAATGAATGATCGCTTGTATGCAATTGGAGGAAATCATTTGAAAGGTCTTTTTTTTTCTTCTAATCACAATAACATTTGCATCTCATGTGTCTTGCTAAGGGGCTTTCTCGTTAGATAATCATAGTTAACCAAGTAAAAAACATGTTGACCAAATAAAATCTACTCTGTGTAAATTAGCAGTACCCTTAAGCAAGCATTTATTCTGCCTCTTCTGCAGATAGAATTATTTTTAGGTTACCATACACATTAAAGAAATGAATAATGATGTCTACAGAAAACAAAAAAGGGAGCATTAATAACTGAAAAGCACAAACAATTTGCTGTCACAATGAATCTTGTGAAATAAATTATTGCTTATCACCCAAGTTGTAGTAATGAATTTTTTCTGGAAAATTGTATTTTGCAATAACCATAAAGAATTTTTTAGTCACAACTGCACAAAGCCAACATGCATTTTTCTTAAATATTTAGCAGAATTTTGTGTTTAAATAGGAATTATTTCTTTTAGTGCTGGATATCCAACCATCTATACTTCTCAAATAGGATTGCTTTTATAATACTGTACACCAAATTTAGACTATAACATTTTTAGAACCATATTTTTGATCCCCGTACTCCACTATATATACTATATAACAAATGTATACAACTGCAACTTTTTGTACTTAATATGCATATTGACAACTTTATGTGCATATGTTTAACGCTGTGATAGCTGTGCTACTGAAAATGAAATGTTTCTTACCTATTTGGGGCCTCAAAAAAAACTGAAAAACTGATAGCTTACTTGAAATACTTAACCTCATGTCTGAAAGACATGAAAATATCCATAGCATACATTTAACTAGAGAAAAAGTAATTTTGTTTGCTTAGTAGCAATGAGGTTCCCACTAGAGCTTTTTTTGTCCCTTAAAGGCAGGGATCTACAAGAATCCACAATCTTGTATACTGTTCTTAAGAATTTCCTTATTGCACTATCATGAGTGGAGGGAGGCACATGCCTGTAATCCCAGCACACAGAAAGCCTGAGGTAGGAGGATCTAGAGTTTGAGATAACCTGAGCTATATAGCAAGACCCAGTTCACATTTTAAAAATGAAGAGGAGAGGATAGAAGGAAGGAAAGAAGGAAGGAAAAACCCCACCCCCTGATGGAAATGTACTCAGTCCCCTGCTCCAAACTTTGATCCTTAGGAAATACCGGAATCCATTGACATTATCAATGTTGCTTATAAACATAGTCTGACTAAAAAGAGTTTAAAAGATGTTGAATAATAGGTTCAATTAAAATATTTTTAGATTGTTAAGCATTCACTAAGAAAAGCAGAATGCACTAGTCTGTATGAATGTGAACACTGAACTCTGTTCACCTGGGTTCAAACCTCAATTCATCTACTTAACTGGCGTGTGATTTATTCCAGTCGCTGACTTTCTGTTTCCCTATCTCTAAAATGAGAACAGTAATACTAGTTATTTAGTACAAGCCTGCAGAAAACGAAGCAACCTACAGCCCTCTATGGAAATGTTTTCACTATCATTATCTTAAATGGATAAAAGAAAGCTTTTCATAAACCATCTTTTAAACAAGCTCTGCTTCCAAATAATCGATCTATCCTAGTGATATCTGCTCAGGCATTCTTGCTTTGAATTAATCCAAAAGCCTGAAGTTCTGTGGGTGGTTTGTTATGTCTTTCTGATATGTCTCCCAATCTCACCAGTGACCATGAAACCGTGTCAAAAGCAAGAGTCTTTTCCGTGGCAAATCGGACATGAGGTCTCTACTAGCTCCTCCTTTCAAGGGTCCGTTTTGCTCTATCACTAGGCTTCTCACACCTTGATGTCATGCTGGTGGAATGTTATGACCCAAAAGGCGACCAGTGGAACATTCTCCAAACTCCCATTTTGGAGGGTCGAAGTGGTCCTGGCTGTGCAGTGCTCTATGACAGCATTTACCTCGTGGGTGGTTACAGCTGGAGTATGGTACGTGTCATTGTTTATCTCTATCTCCTCTTTTGCTTTTTCTGCTTATTTTTCCCAAATGTGTTGTCATCCATCCACATGTGTTCAAACATACAAAAAAAATGAGATTCCACCATCAAAATCCACCAACATTTTGTCATACGTACTTTTGTTCTTAAAAAAATATTGTCTTTGTAATGTTGTCAGTTGCTGCAGAAATAAATTAATATTCTCATACAATATAGCATCTTCCATTTTACTTCTCACCTTATGTATGTTTTACTTTTGGTTTTTATTAGAGAATCATATTTCATGTTTACAGTATCTTATTCCTCTAGAGAATTATAAATCTATAGAATTTTTTAAAATCCAGCTTAACACACACACACACACATAATGGCTGAAGCAATTGAAAGCAGATTTCAGACATCTTATTTCATTCTAAATTTCTCAATATTTTTTTTAAAATTCACTTGTGTAAATAGATAACCATTTCTTCACACCTGCCAAGAGTAACAATAAAATTCTCTTATATCCATTTCATATTCAAATTTTCTCTATTGGGGAAAAAAGAGGTCATTTTCAAATTAACATGTGTTAATAATGTACATTCCCATGAGGATACAAGACTCACTCCTGTTTGATTATGTCCTATAGATCTCGTGCAATCTAGAATATTACCTGTGCCCTAGTTTTCTTTTCCAAGTCATTAACTTGACAAAACAAGGTCAGTTACCATATGGAATAGCCTATATTCTAGAATTGGCTAACGATTTCCTATGCTATCATTGACAATAATTGCTCATTCCTAATTGGAGACAGGAGTTAACTCTGTTTAAACTTTTATATGATTTCACTTTCTTCTCATCCACCTCCTTTTTCATCATCTTCCTCTTTTCCTTTCTCTTTCTTCATCTTTGTCTTTTTTTTTTTGTTTTTGGTCAGTTGTGGGGCCTGAACTCTGGACCTGGACACTGTCCCTCAGCTCTTCAGCTCAAGGCTAGTGCTCTACCACTTGAGCCACAGCATAATTTTCAGCTTTTTTTTTTGCTTATGTGGTGCTAAGGAATTGAACCCAGGGCCTCATGCAGGCAAGGCAAGCTCTCTACCACTGAGCTACCTTCCCAGCCCCCGTCTTTGTCTTTTTTGGCAAGAATACCTGAGGAGATAGTTTTGTAGTTCAAATCACATCATATGAGAAGACACAGAAGGCCTAGTAATCTATAAAAAGGCAATGTTTTTAAAAACTATTTTCTTATTTATCTCTGTTAATTTTACATGATCTATATTGGAGATTTTATATTAATTTTGAAAGTGGTGGAATGTGCTCAAGGGGAGGGAGGGTAGATAAATGAAGTGAAGGGAAGAATACAATCAACATTTATTTTTTATCCTATAAATTTAAGAAAAGTTGGGGAAGGGGTGGATTGGGAAGGATGGGTGAGAATGTTAGAAGGGGATGCATTGTTCTCATGAACTGTTTTGTCAAGTGGCAGCTACTGTGTACAAGTGTGTAAAAATATTTTAAAGAGGTTAGAATTATTGTAAAGGTTAGAATGTGTTTGTGACTTTAACTAAGTACCACTATCTCACAATACTGTGAAATATGTGAAATTTATGTAATCACTTAATCACAATAAAAAAGATTTTTAAATGATATTAGATTTACTTTGCATTAAATAAGACAAGTAGAAGGTTTGGGGGAGATTTGGAAAGTTAATTATACAGAAACAAGTATAAATTGACATGTAACTAAGTATTTGCACATGTTCATGGGGAAAATTTTTAGCTTCTAAATGATTGGTGATTGGTTGGGTGATGTATTTGCCACCTATGTTATTTTTTTTTTTTTTTTTTTTTTTTTTAATTGTAAAGCTACTATACAGAGGGTCACAGTTACATGAGTGAGGTTATGAGTACACTTCCTCTTGAACATTGTTACCCCCTCCATTGTTTTCCCCCTACCATCCCCTCCCTCCCTCCCTTCCCCGAGGTTCTTTTTTTTTTTTTTTTTTGATTGTGATTAAATGATTACATAATTTCAAAGTCACAAGTTCATTCTAACTTCCCTGGAGCAAATTGTCTACCACAGTCTGTAATATATAACAGTGTTCACATGTTATATACCATATTTGTGATCAGCAGCATGAGGATATTTAGTAGTGGTTCAACCAGATGAGCGGGAGTTCTTTGTTTCTTAAGTCCTGTTAGTTTTGTCGTATCACTAACCTTTTGGATTTAGCATCCACTTATGAGGGAGACCATGTACCGTTTGTCTCTTCGTTCTTGGCTTACCTCGCTCAACATGATTCCTTCTAGCTCCATCCATTTCCCTGCAAATGCCATTATTTTGTCATTTCTAATGGCTGCATAATATTCCATTGTGTATAGATACCACAATTTTTGGATCCATTCATCTGTGGTGGGGCACCTAGGTTGTTTCCATATCCTAGCTATTGCGAACAGTGCTGCAATAAACATGGAGGTGCACGTGTCCTTGTATATTGGTTCCTGTTGTTCAGGGTAGATGCCTAGAAGTGGTATGACTGGGTCGTAAGGGAGGTCAATCTTTAGCTTTCTAAGGACCCTCCAGACTGCTTTCCAAAGTGGTTGTATAAGTGTACATTCCCACCAGCAGTGTAATAGGGTTCCTCTTTCTCCACATCCCCTCCAGCATTTGTCGTTGGCTGATTTGTGGATGTGGGACATTCTGACTGGGGTAAGGTGGTATCTCAGGGTTGTCTTTATTTGCATTTCCTTCACCACCAGGGATGATGAACATTTCCTCATGTGTTTCTTTGCCATTTTTATTTCTTCATTTGAGAAGTCCCTCTTTAGTTCCCTTGCCCATTTAGTAATTGGTTTGTTAGGTTTGGGAGGGATTAGTTTCTTGAGTTCCCTGTATATACAGGATGTTAACCCCTTGTCTGATATATTGCTGGTAAATATTTTTTCCCAATTAGTTGGTTGTCTTTCTAGCTTAGTTGCGATAGATTTAGCTGTGCAGAAGCTTTTTATTTTAAGGTAGTCCCATTTGTCGAGTCTCTCTCCAACTTGTTGTGACCCTGGGACTCTGTTCAGGAAGTTCCTTCCTGTGCCTATTAGTTCAAGTGTCTCTCCTACTCTGTCCTGCAGTAGTTTCAGAGATTCAGGTTTAATGTTAAGGTCTTTAATCCATTTTGAGTTGATGTTGGTGCATGGTGATAGGCTGGGGTCCACTTTTAGTTTTCTGCATGTGGCTGCCCAGTTTTCCCAGCACCAGCGGTTGAAGAGGCTGTGTTTCTTCCATTGTATGTCTTTGGCTCCTTTGTCGAATATCAGCTGGCTGTAGGCCTGTGGATTTATATCTGGATCTTCTATTCTGTTCCATTGGTCTTCGGGTCTGTTTTTGTGCCAGTACCATGCTGTCTTTGTGATTATAGCTCTGTAGTAGAGTTTGAAGTTCGGCATGGATAGCCCTCCCATATTGTCTTTATCCCCTAGAATTGTTTTGGCTATTCTAGGTCTTTTGTTGTTCCATATAAATTTTTGGACTGTTTTCTGTATTTCAGTGATGTACGTCATTGGGATTTTAATAGGAATTGCATTGAATTTGTATATTAATTTTGGAAGTATCACCATCTTTACTATATTAAGTCGGCCTATCCAGGAGCATGGGAGGTCTTTCCATTTCCTAGTGTCTTCTGCAATTTCTTTCTTTAACTTTTTATAGTTCTCATTAAATAGTTCTTTTACATCTTTGGTTAGGTTAATTCCTAAATATTTTATTTTTTGGGAGGTTATTGTGAATGGGGTTGCTCCCTTTATTTCCCTCTCTTCCTGTGCGTTATCAGTGTATAGGAAGGCAACTGATTTTTGTGGGTTTATTTTGTATCCTGCTATTTTGCCGAAGTGACTTATGATTTCTAAAAGTTTGGGGATGGAGTTTTTGGGATCGTGGAGGTATAGTATCATGTCGTCTGCAAAAAGGGATAGTTTCACTTCTTCTTTCCCTATGCGGATCCCTTTAATGTCTTTTTCTTGCCTTATTGCCCTGGCTAAGGGTTCTAGGACTATGTTGAAGAGGAGTGGAGACAGTGGACATCCTTGCCTTGTTCCTGTTTTTAGGAGGATTGGTTGTAGCTTTTCCCCATTAAGTATAATATTGGCTATTGGTCTGTCATAAATGGCTTTTATTGTTTTTAGAAATGTTCCTTCTATTCCTATTTTCTCCAGAGCTTTTAGCATGAATGAATGTTGAATTTTATCAAAGGCCTTTTCTGCATCTGTGGCGATAATCATGTGATTCTTGACCTTGGCTCTGTTGATATGCTGGATTACATTTATTGACTTACGTATGTTAAACCATCCCTGTGTCTCTGGGATGAAGCCTACCTGATCATAGTGTATTATTTTTTTTATGTGTTTCTGGATTCTGTTAGCTAGAATCTTGTTAAGGATCTTTGCATCTGTGTTCATCAAGGAGATTGGCCTGTAATTCTCCTTTTTGGTTGGGTCTTTGCCTGGTTTGGGGATGAGTGTGATATTGGCTTCGTAGAATGAGTTTGGGATAGCTCCCTCCTTCTCTGTTTCTCTGAAGAGCTTGAGGAGTATGGGTATTAGTTCTTCTTTAAAGGTCTTATAGAATTCTGCTGTGAATCCATCTGGTCCTGGGCTTTTTTTTGTTGGAAGACTTTTGATAGCTTCCTGTATCTCATTATAGGATATTGGCTTATTTAATTGGTTAACTTCTTCTTTGCTCAGTTTGGGTAGCTTGTATTTCTCTAAAAATGCATCCATTTCCGCCAGATTTTCTTCCTTTAGAGAGTATAGCTTTTGAAAGTAGTCTGTTAGAATTGTTTGGATATCTTGGGTACGTGTTGTGATGTTTCCCGTGGCATCCCTAATCCTATTAATATGGGTTTCCTCTCTTCTTTTTTTAATTAATCTTGCCAACGGGCCATCAATTTTGTTTATTTTTTCAAAGAACCAGCTTTTTGTTTGGTTTATTTTGGTTATGGTTTTCTGATTTTCTAATTGGTTAATCTCTGCTCTCAATTTGGTTATCTGGCTTCGTCTAGTAGCTTTAGGTCCCATTTTTTCTTGTTTTTCTAGCTGTTTTAGTTGCAACATGAGATTATTTACTTGGTCTGTCTCCATTCTCTTGATGTGGGCACTGAGGGCAATAAATTTGCCCCTCAGGACTGCTTTTGCTGTGTCCCACAAGTTTCTTTGTGAGGTGTTTTCATTTTCATTGAGTTCTAGGAAATGCTTTATTTCTTCTCTGATCTCTTCTGTTACCCAGGCCTTGTTAAGGAGTGTGCTGTTCAATTTCCATGTATTAGAGAAATTTCTGCGGTATGCTTTGTTATTGAGAGCTAGCTTGATTCCACTGTGGTCAGATAGGATACAGGGGATTATGTCGATCCCTTTGTATTTGCTTAAGTTCCTTGAATGAACTATGATATGGTCTATTTTGGAGAAAGTTCCATGAGCTGCTGAGAAGAATGTGTACTGTGTTGTTTTAGGGTGAAATACTCGGTAGATGTCAGTTAATTCCGCTTGAAGTATGGCCTCACTTAATTCGGTAGCTTCTTTGCCAATCCTCTGGTTGGTAGACCTGTCCTTTGGTGAGAGTGGCGTGTTAAAGTCTCCTAGTATTATCGTATTGGGATCTATTTTATTCTGTAAGTTTGAGAGCATTTGTTTAACATATCTGGGTGCACCGATATTTGGGGCATATAAGTTGATGATGGTTATATCCTCCTCTTGGATTGTTCCCTTTATTAATATGTAATGTCCGTCCTTGTCTTTCTGTACTGATTTTAATGAAAAGTTTATTTTGTCAGATATCAGGATAGCTACACCTGCTTTCTTATTGGGGGAATTTGATTGGTAGATCCTTTTCCACCCCTTCACTCTGAGTTTGTTTGTATGTTTGGCTGAGAGGTGGGTCTCCTGAAGGCAACAGATGGATGGGTCTTGTTTTCTGATCCAGTCCTCGGTTCGTTTTCTTTTAATTGGCGAATTCAGCCCATTTATATTAAGAGAAAGTATAGAGAGATGCATTGTTGTCCCTGCCATTCCGTTTTCCTAAGTTTTTCTTCTTTCCTTTCCTCCTGTGCTTGCTCAGTTAGACTTTGAGTAATGCCTGTTTGGGGCAGGTCCCAGTTCCTGGTTGCTTTCTTCAGGTTGTGTCCCCCCTCTTAGAATTCTTTGTAATGCTGGCTTAATGTTTATGTATTCATTTAGTTTTTCTTTGCTATTAAAAGTTTTCAGTTCTCCATCGAATGTGAATGCTAGCTTTGCCGGGTATATCAGTCTGGGTTGGCAGTTATTGGCTCTCAGGGCTCGTATGGTGCTTTCCCAGGCTTTTCTTGCATTCATTGTTTGTGTGGAGAGATCTGCAGTGATTCTAATTTTTTTCCCGTTGTAGTATAGCTCCTTCTTCATTTTTGCTGCATGCAGGATTGTTTCCTTATTATTCAGATCCATCATTGTTACTATTATGTGCCTAGAAGTGTTTCTCCTGGGATCTTGCTTGTTGGGTGTTCGATAAGCTTTTGTGATGTAGTTAAGATGGTCGTTTTTGAGGTGGGGAAAATTTTCATTGACTATCTTGTTAAATAAGTGTTGCATTCCCTTGCTCTGGAATTCCTCACCTTCGTCCACTCCGATTATGCGAAGGTTAAATTTTTTAGCATTATCTGCTTGCTCTTGAATTTCCCTTTGGTTTAATTTGAGTGATTTTTCCATATCTGTCACTTTTTGGTCCAGTTGGTGTATTCTGTCTTCTGTATCTGACACTCTACCTTCCATTTCATTCACTCTGTTGACCGTGGCTTCTATTGTGGTTTGCATGATGGAAATGGATCCCTTTATGGATTCAATGTTGGTTCTCAGAGTACTGATCTCACCTCTCAATGAGGTGATATCAGTATGCATTACCTCTAATTTGGCGTTTATCTCACTTCTTACTGAGGTTTGTGCAGCTTCTATTTTTGCATCCAATTTTTGTTTGATATCCTGTATATCTTTTGATAGTTCATCCTTGTGCTCTTTCAATTTCTGATCCATTTCTCGCTTTATTTCTTGAGTCATTGCCTCCAGCAACCCTTGGATGTAGTTTTTGTCTTCCATTCCTGCTTTGCTCCCACTGGGGCTCTCCCCTGCGTGGCTGCTGGCTTTTGAGGTGAGCTTGCTGTCCTGGGTAGTGGTAAACCTTGTGATTTTTCTCTGTGATTTTCGCATGGGGGTTCAGGAGACTGCTCTTCAATCTTGTTTTGGTGTGTCTGTCTTTGCTTGGTTGCTGATTCTCTATTGGTAGAGAGAGTCTGTGTCTGATCTGGATTCTGTTGGGAGCCTATTTCCAGCTGCTATTCACTTAGGATTCTCAGCTCTCTGCTGTAGCAATTCCCGCCTTTGGAAGGGTTGAGCAGCCTAGACTGCTTGTGTTTGCTCCTGCGGGTGCTCTTGGGAAGATCAGATGCTCTGGATGCACTCTCCCAAATACTGGAGTCTGCTATGGGCTCCTGATGTGTTTTTGTTTGTTTTGGGCTGGTTGTGGGCTTGAACTCTAGGTTTGGGTGCTGTCCCTCAGCTCTTCAGCTCAGGGCTGGCACCCTACCATTTGAGCCACAGCCCCACTTCTGACCCTTTTTGCTTTGTTCAGGCGCCGGTCCCCTGGCCTGGTTCCGGCCCCAGCCTGGAGCGCGCTCGTTAGGCCTGTGCTAATGTGTATACCACCTTGGTTATGCAGCCTGGAGGACACAGTTCAAATTTCTTCTACTGTTGGTAGTCTTGACCCAGGGGCACTGTTCCTGGCTTGAGCATTTAAGCTCCCTTCCCGGGGCGCTCTTGCTCTGGCCTGGCCAGCAGAGTGTGCTCCACCGGCTGGTGGGGCTCTCGAACAGTTCCCAGTTTTAGTGGGTCCTGTGGTCCGGGTGTTGGGGTAGGGAGTCTAGGTCAGGGTCTGGGGATTCCCTCCAGCTCTGGTCTCCCTTGATGGATTCCCTGTCCCCTGATGGGTACTCACCCTGTAGGTCGTCAGTTGTTGTTGCAGTCCGTCAGTTGTTGTTGCAGTCCGAGTTCAGTTGGGGTGGTTGCGGGCTGGGTTGGGCGGCCCCCCGCCGGGTCGTTGCGATCCCTTTGTGGCGCTGCTGGTGCCGGGCGGCTTTGGCGGGATGGAGCCTCTCCGCTCCGGTGGAGAGTGAGGGGTGGGGGTGGGATCCTCGTGGAGACTCCCGGCTGGTGGGTTTCTCTGTTCCTGGCAATCCGCTGTTCTGCAATCCGGTACCTGGTGATCTGCAAGCAGCCCCCTGTGTCTCTGTGGCTCCGGCAGCCCCCGCCGGGCCGGCTGGCCGGCGGCTTGGCGCACTGCCGCGCGGCCAGTAAAGGTTGGGGGAGGGGTCTTCGCTCTTCTCTGTTCTGAAATTCTTCTTTTCCTCTCTTTCTTTTTTTGTTATTTTCCACCTCTGGTTTTTCTCTGAGTGTTCGTCTTTTTGTTGTTGTCGGTCTCTTGGGGAGATTAAAGGTTGGAACTCGAACTCTCTTTTTGGTTGGAGAGAGCTGTGGCGTTTCCCTACTGCCCCGTCGCCATCTTGAGAACTCCAATCCCACCTATGTTATTTTTAAGCTGCTTTTTTGGGGCAAAGAAAATGTCCTTCAAGTTGACATAGGAACAAAATTAAAAGCACTGTTTGTTTCTCAGGTGGCCTCTTGAATGTGGATAAATCAATATGTGAACAAGTTGGAAAGCCTTTGTTTCCATTCCACTTTAAACTAGTTTACAGTTCTAGCTCTGATTTTCCACTGTAACAACAACAACAAAAGAACTGAGACAATAATATAAACCCCAACTTACTCAAACTATTTAAATTTGTCTTTTTATTTCTTTTAGATGGATAATTTCTACTTTGGGTCAATTATTTTAAACTTAGGAACATATAGGATGTTCTAGATATTTATTTGATTGCTATTGCAAGTCATCAAACAAAAAGACTTTGATGTGTCAATTTCAGATTTTTCCCTTGGAATAAACCAGTTTAAGTCCACTGCCTTCATCTGGAACTTTATTTTTTATTTTTTAGTGAGAGCAGAGAACATATCTTTCCAATAGAAGTGTGTGATTAATCACATTGCCAATGAACATCCTTCTCTGAACATCCTTTCTTATTACTCTGCTCTGCTGTTACAGGGGGCCTATAAGTCATCTACAATATGCTACTGTCCAGAGAAAGGAAGCTGGACAGAACTTGAAGGAGATGTAGCAGAACCACTGGCAGGCCCTGCCTGTGCAACAGTTATCCTGCCTGCCTGTGTACCCTACAACAAATAACACCGGGAACCCCTGGAATGAACAGTATCACAGCCTGAGAAGCAGTGACAGGTGATGTTGCTGTTCTAGAGGAACCATGTATTTTCATGGTACAACTGCCAAAACCCACCTTTGGTTTCTGATGACTTACAAATAACTACAAAAGAAAGAGAACTGTCCTTGAGCAGATATGGTGTCTGTAACCCAGAGTACACCGACTTCCTGTGGTGACAGACTCTTCACTTCAGACGGGTTCTACCTTGTCCCAGCTTTACAAAAACTCCTCATCCAGATGGATCTTCACTTTCAAAAGGAGGAAGACAAATACAGAAGACTAGTCCCAGAGAGACTTAAGATCAGTATTGTGCATTGTAGTCTACCTGCATGTGATTGATGTTGAAGTTTGGGGGATACTGTGTATAGGAAAGATTCAAAATTTGACCCACCAAAATACACTGCATTCCAGCAATTGCCACTTAAATTCTGTATTCCTCACCTTTGGCTACTTCACAAATGCTATAGGGAATATAATTGTTGAAAGTCATATTAAAGATTTTTTGTTTTTATACAACCTTTTTTGATATACTTTCTGTGCTAACAGCATCTCATGAATCAGAGGAAAATAAGTTGCTAGGTCTTGTAGCAATTGCTTTCTGCCCTATCGGTAGGTTCTAAGCAAGCCTGAATCCTAACTTTTGTGTCCTCAATTCTATCTGAAAAATTCAAATACAATACACTATTCAGTTCACCGGGACTCAGGTTTTCTTTTCTTTTTTTTCAGCATTTAAGTACTGAAGATATTTCTCTGCCTTAAAAGACAGGACTGACCAATTCAGTTGGAATATTTCAGAAATTCTGGTGCATATCCAGCCTAAACTTAATCCATAATGAAAATGGAAATATTGCTTTCAAGAATTCAGCAATGAAAAAAATAATTTCTTTTAAGTACAAGCCCAGGTGCCTCTGTTACAAAAACCACACAACTTTGCAAAGTTGTAAAGCACCTGACAAATTATTTCTCCTTTTCCTTGTCATTGGCTGGCTCTAGGCACTGGACTTACCTTTGCTATTTCTCAGCTCATCACATTTGATTTGTTATCCCCAGAAAAGCCTGAAATCAGTTAAGTAAGCAATTGTTACATGTCTTCTAGGAGCATGAGGAATTTAAGAGCAGAGGGTTAGGATAGCATGACATAGTTTCAGTGTGGCCAATCAGAAGAGCAGAACTGGCAGGAACATGAATTTGACTTTCAGGTTCTTCGGAGCTTGACCGACAACTCTCACGAGTATGCAAAAGCCTAAAATGCTCTTAATCACCCAAAGATGCTGATTATTCAACAAATGCCATGTTCAAGACCACAATCAGAGGAAGCCACAGATTACATGAGGCTTTGGTGATAATCCTTCAGCATCAATGGAGGATGGCAAGATGGAAAAGGATCCTGGAATCCAGTGCCGTTTCGACAATAAAGTGCAATCTTCATTGTTTTTGTGTTTATTTGTATGTTCAGATCCAAAGGATCCGTTGTAAATATATATATGTATATGAATATATATATGTATCCAGTGCAATCAACTTTCATTTCTTTTTCCTTGAAAACCTATGAATATATAGAAAGAAAAGTTGCAGGATTTTGTGGAAAAATCTCAGCAGACACCATGAAGGAAACCTTTTATTGTCATCTGTCATTGTTTCTTCCAAAGTCACAGTTTATGCAAAAATACTTGCTTCCCTTAGACGTGTTCTTTATTTTCTTTTTATTTCTAGTGGAAATAAAGAAAGTATTTATGAGAACTATAACTAAAGCTTTCTGTATTTCAGAAAGACACAAACTACTAGAAAGTGAACAGTAAGTCACAGAAAATGTAAATCTTGTACAGTATTAGAATGTGTAAATGAAGCTTGCTTGGAAGGGGAAAAGTTTAAATAAAAACTTTATGTACTAATTCAACTGCCTCTCATATTCCTACTTATAAAGCATATGTACAAATTAAATTGTTTGGAGTTTTATAATATGTAAATGGCTGACTATTTTTATTCTGTGGATATACTTCACAAGTGTACTTCACTAACTTGCCATATATAAATGTAAATATTTCTGGGGGAAAATATTGTGAGTTAAAAAATAATATGACTTTATCTTGATTTTCCCACTATAACAGCTTTTCCATAAGGCATAACTTTACCTAAGATCTATAATAGTTATAGATATCATTATAAGTACGACAGGAACTATGATCTATGTGGACATGTATTGAAAACACTTGTACACTTTCTAAAGAATAAGTGAATCACCAAATCAATTAAATAAATTATCCAATTGCATATTTCATTTTTTAAAAAATCTAACAAAGAAGTTGTACAGGACAATTAGTAGATGGGCTATGAGGGAACTCAGGGATATATGGCTGAAAGTCATAAGTGAGTAGTCCTTCAGACAAAGAGAGGCAGAGAATCAAGAGCTAATGTCTGAGTTTTGCAAGCCAGGAAGGATTCTGATGCATCCCACAATTTACTTTGATGTCTTAGTTTTGACAATTCACAATTAAGGGTTTTTTTAAATCCTGCCAAGTAGTCCAGGAAACAAGAGCAACGGACATATTCACCCATTAGATCTCTTCTCTGTGCTAATTGAGCACACCAAGAAAGATTCCCTCCCAAATGTAGTCTCTGAGGACATCTGAGCAAGTGGACAGTTGAAGCAGGGCTTGTTCCAAACACCCTGAAATCTCCTAAACTTTAGGACTGACCACAGAGCACAGGTAGTGAAAGAAATAGGCTTGTCTTTTTCCTAATCTCAAGGAAGCGTCACTTTAAGTCCAGAGCTAAACTACATATTTTTATTTCTGATAACTACCAGTTGAGGGAATTTGGGGAACAGGATGGTAAAGGATGGACTTTCTAAAAATATGCCTTAAAACTGGCTAAAAACTTCTAGGAGGATAGGCATAAGGACCAGATTGTTTAAAAATTAATTAGGCAGTGTCTGTTGGCTTAAAATTAGTGTCTATATGTGTTTGCTCTATTCAAACCTGCGTTTTCTCAGTTTGTACCACTCAACAAATTTCATCCTTATCATCATGGTAAGCGTCAAATGTTTATCATCCATACATCATCACACGTGTCACCATTCTCATTATACGTGGTTCTTTAGGTCAAAATACAGATGTTTCTCAGTTTATGCTGTGGTTATGTCCCACTAAACCAACTGTAAGTTGAGATATCTTAGTTGGATGATATTGTATGTTATAGAGGATCAGGTGCTTAACCATCATGACCCTGTGGCTCACTGAGAACTATGGCTCACTGGCCCTTCCCACCATGTATTACTAATCTTGCAGCAAATAAAAAGTCAAACATTGAAGAGCAGTATCTATTGAATGCATGTCCTTTTCATACCATCTTAAAAATTTTTAAATCGTTACCCTAAATCAGGGACATCAGTAGTTAAAAAATAAAACAAAACATACAAACAAGCTACAGTAAAATTAGTAAGGCACACAAACTCCAACTAATGAGCACTAATAAGTGTCTAATAAGTGTCTTAAAGATACCTTTAAACTCTAACCTCAGTCTTACTAAGAAGTCATTTTTTTTCTTTATTACTCTGCTCACTGAGCAGTGTGGATCTTGGGTACTCCACAAACACAGAAATGCTCCCTCTTCTTCTGCTTGTGTATTTTCTCTATAAACAATGCTATTTCATGCTCAAGATTATCTATTATAATACTGTCCTTCAAGGTCCAGTTCAAACTCTACTGCCTTCATTATGCCTTTGTGATCAACATACTTATGTGGACATTTTTCATCCCATTTCCTACAACTCTCTACCTGTCTCTATTCCATGCTACATAGTTCTAAGAGTTTATATTTTGCCCTCTTACTAGAATCAGGTTTCCTTGAGGTTAGAGATAATGCACAATCTGTCTATGAGCCACTGTAAAGCCATGAAAAAGACTGGGAAGAGTTCCAACTGCAGAAAATAAAGATGTCTTTTCTATTTGTACTTTTTTTGTGTTCTGTTCAACAGCATGTGCCTTGACATCTTAAAATTTCATGATTATGCATAATGAGGAGGTCTTCATAGTAATTTTAATAACATAGTAGACACATGGATGCATTGGCAAACTTTGAGTTGATTTGTTCATGTCACCATCCTCCAGAAGCATTCTTCTGTGGCCTTTCTGATTGCCTCCCACCAAATTCACTCCACAGTTTAGGTCTTGCCCAATACTCCTATTATTGTACCACATCTCTTTGAAATATATAAAAGTTTTGTCTCTCTAGAGATTTTGCTGTTCAGTTCATCTTGGTCTTTTCCCCTGATTTAACATTTCTGATGAGAAATGCTGCATCTCCTTCCGCCTCTGGGCTCTTCCAGAATAGTTGTGGTACATTGTACTTTCCTTCTGAAGGGACTTAGACCACCAAGATGCCATCTCAAGCCACATGGCATTCATACAGTTTGACAGGAAATTGTTTATTTGCATTACAAGTTTTTCTTAAAAGCAATTCAGACTATTAAAGCCATCTGAGATGAGATGCCACATTAAATTTATTCATGCCTCTTCCAATTTACATGGCCATGTTAATCCAATACACAGGAAAGAAAGAAATGAAAAGACTAAAACCAAAATTTCTTTGGGCTAAATACTCTACATGAGGTCTGATGGCAAGACATAATGCAGGTCTCTGACCAGACCACCCTAGGATGGTCATATCCCAAAATACTAATATCTATCATATGCTGTATTCATATAGTTCCGAGTATATGCCTCCTTATATTCATGCTGATTCATATTTATGCTTGTTTTAACAACCTCTGGGTGTTGATTGGGCAATACCTAAAATGTGTGTGTGTGTGTGTTTGTGTCCCAGAGGTCCCTGAACACAGTGGTACACAATAAAAGGATTTTCTTTTAGACTTATGAGAATCCCTAGAATATCAGAATCTTTCTGACTCAGAAATTTTAAACCTTCCATCTTAAACATGCATGTTAAACTTGGATTTTCTCAATTATGACTGTCATCAATGTAACAAGTCCTACAAATCAAATAGCCTTTGATACAAAAGTTTGCAAGCCATATGGAAATGAGCTGTCTTTCTCGCATTAACTATGTTTCTCATACTAAGAAAATCTTTGCCTTGGTATACAAATGGATATAGTACTGTCAGAGTTCTGGCCCCAGCCCAGAAAATATTGTTCTTTACATGTCCTCCTCCAAACAGTGGTTGAGTACGTAATAATTCTCTTGATATTCCCAGTATTATGGTGTCAGCCTTTTATTTACTTATTCCTTCCCCCTGTGGACAAAGCTTTGATATACCCTATGAAGAATATAAATAAATGTGAGTAACCATAATGCAAGGTATAAATGCAATAAAAATATACAAATAGGTGCTGTGGGAGTTCTGAAGAGGAAGTTTATGTCCAATACGTGAATTGGAAAAGACTGAGCAAAAGGAGTATATAGCACCAGTTCTAAAAACAGGTAAAAGTAAATGGAATTCTGAAAATAGGTATAAAATAACTAGAGGATTTTCCCCCTTCTCTTGATATGTATAAATTAATCTTTAAAAGCTCAATAAGCAACAACTAACTGCTAGATCAAAGAAACATTACTTTAATCTTGGCCAGATTATTATATTTGAATGGTGGTATAAATGACAAAGAAAGTAGTTCGTTGTCAAAGCCAGGACTTTCATGTCCAGATGGAATAAAGTAGTCCACAATAGGCCAAGATATATTACTTTTAAAATACTTAAGGCTTTAGAGAATTATGAAAGCACTTTGGATGAGATGTGTCAAAATTCCTGAGGAAAATGTCCCTTTGGTAGTTAATGATAGCTAGTAATTTTTTTTTCCTCCGAGAATATTTTCCAGTTCTAGCCACAGGTTGAGGAACCATGGCTCAGGCAGAGAACATTTGTTATGGGAAAAAAGAAACCAGCAAAACTCGGATGTCACACACAGCTACAGTGATAAAAATGAAAACTTACAGAGCCCTAAAAATATAGCCAGTTTCCTTCTAAGGAAACTTTTGGACTTTTATGGTTCCCCTCCAGATAGGACCTAAACCTGAAATTCCCAGTAGGCAGAGACAGAGAGGGGTCCTTCACTCTCCCCTGATGCTTAGGAATTAAAGACTTGTCAAGTGGAAATAATTGCTTCACAAATGACACTGATCACTGTCTCAAATTTTAAAGCTCTATAAGTCGGACAGATCATAGTTAAGCTGAAAACCTCTAAAGAAAAAGTCTGGAATTTCCTATAGACTTCAGGACTGAGACCAAAAACCAGACTCTCAAACAAAGTCAAGGGATATACCAGATATAGAATTATATAGGACAGTTGAATGGAACTTCTATACTCCATCCTTGATTGAACTAAGGTGATCACTTTTTCCTTCTACCTGAATAAAAGAAGATAGCGAGCATTATCTCTGTTGGAAGGTCAAATCATATGGAGCCTAGTAGTTGTGTAAATCAAAAACCAGTTCACTCAGCCCACACTCATGAGAGAAAAAATCTTATGATTTAAAATCAGCAGAGACTAGAAAAAGACCAGATTGTAAGTTTGCAATAAATAAATATGACTAAGATGATAATATAACACAGAACAAGTGGGCAAAAACAATGAAATCACTGAACAATCACACCTTGGGATTCGAATCTATTTTAAAAGAAATCACATCATTATTCTAGAATAAAACAGTGTAATATCTCAAATTAAAATGTCAATGAGTGACATTAACTACAGAGTGGATACACAGGATTGGTAAACTGGAATGATAGTAGTAGATAATATTTAAAATTAGAGCACAGAACATAGAATAGAAAATTATATTAAAGTGAAAGATTTCTGAGATATGCTCACAGTGTATCATTACAGTATGAGAAAGAACTGAGAGAGAATAGGAAAATTGCATTCAAAAAGATATTGGCC